GGTTGACTCAGCCTTCCATCCTTCCGAGGTGGGTGAAATGAGGACCCAGACTGTGGGGGCGATATGCTGACTCTGTAAACCACTTAGAGACGGCTGAAAGCCCTATGAAGCGGTATATAAGTCTGCTATTGCTATTGCTAAACAAGTCCCAGCAGAGGAGACTTTTCTCCTTACTTTGGCCGGTTGCAGTGACGGAGAGAGCAAGGCCTGGGGGCCTCATAGTTCCTAGCAGGTAGGGAAGGTGGAGGCTGCCTGCCAGGGGCTCTTCCAGAGGAATAGGAAGGCGTGGAGAAGGAAGTAGCCACATCTACATGTTGCATATGGATAAGAACATGAGTAGGCGGCTCCTCTACAAGGCTGCCTTTCCTGACAGCTGCTGGGGATAGAAGAGGTGGAGAACCCTCTCTCGGATCTGCTTTGTCTGCACCCCATAAATAATGGGGTTCATCATTGGCGGGAAGAGCAGGTAGAAGTTAGCCAGGAGAATGTGGATGTAGGTGGGAACGTGGGAGCTGAACCTGTGTAGGAAGGAGGAGAGGATCACCGGGACGTAGAAGATCAGGATGGCGCAGACATGGGACAGGCAGGTGCCAAAGGCTTTGTGCTGCTCCTCCTTGGTAGCCAGACTCAGGACCGCCCGGAGGATCTTGGCGTAGGACAGCACAATGAAGCTCAGGTCAAAGCCAACGACCAGGAGGGCCACGAAGATCCCGTAAATGTTAGTGAAGCGGGTGTTGGAACAGGCCAGCCTCACCACGGCCATGTGCTCGCAGTAGCAGTGGGCGATCGTGAGGGAGTGGCAGTAGGAGAGCCTCCGGAGCAGGAAGGGTACGGGCAGCGTCAGGGCAACCGCTCTCATCAAAACCACCAGCCCAGCTTTGGCCACCAGAGAATGGGTCAGGACGCTGTGGTACCTCAGAGGGTGGCAAATGGCCACGTAGCAGTCGAAGGACATGGCCAAGAGCACCGCGGACTCCATGATGGAAAAGGAGTGGAGGAAGAACATCTGCGCCAGGCAGCCAACCAGCCCAATCTCCCCGGCTTTGAACCAGAAGATGCCCAGGGTTTTGGGCATGGTGGTGAGGGACAACACCAGATCAATGGAGGACAGCATGGAGAGGAAGAAGAACATGGGCTTGTGGAGACTCAGGTCTGTCTTGATGACGTAGAGGAGGGTGCCGTTGCCCAGGAGGGAGATGAGGAACATGGAGCAGAAGGGGATGGAGATCCAGGGGTGAGCTGGTTCCAGGCCCGGAATCCCAGCCAGGAAGAAAACGAGGGGCTCCCGGAGGGTCTGGTTGCCTGCCAATCTATCGGACGATCCACTGAAGAGTTGCTTCATTTCGAGATCCTTCTGGGTGGGCTTCTCTTGTGCAGACGCCACATGGCTGGTGGTGGGATGGGTCCTCACTGAGGCTGGAGACCCCCTTCCCTTCTGAAATGCTGCCAGCGAAACAGAAGGTTAGCCCAACATTCATCTTCTCTGCCGCTCTGCCTCTAACTCAGTGTTTCTCAACCTTGGCAACTTGAAGATGTCCGGACTTCAACTCCCAGAATTCCCCAGCCAGCGAATGCTGG